GTTATTATTGTTATCATTCTAAATGAGTGGTCATAAGTTCGAACTCATAAGTATTTCAATAATAATAATAATAATGAGCACCAAAAATTAGTTCATAATTAAAGGTTTGATCACATGAAAGCCCTTAATTAGCTTTACTTGGTTGGAACTTGGAAGCTAGCTACTATAGTACAGTGATGAATTATTTGGAGAGACATTGCTTCATCAACTTTCGAACTAACAAAGCTTGTGAAAGTGACCTCAATTCGAATCGTCCGATCCTCTCTTGATTTGGAATTATGACAGATTAAAATTTTGGGTTGATGTGAGACCAAATGCACCTTTCACTCCACATTTTCGATCTTCTCATCTGCCTCAGTGAAAACACCAAACCTCTTTGAGTAAGAGGAAGTCGAGTAAGGTTTAAGACTAATAAGTGCAAACCCCAACTACAATCATATACTAATGGACTTTCAATCATGAATAATATAATATAATATAATATAATTAATAATTAATTCCTATGTGGTGAAGATTATATTACGAGTTTAATTCTTATCAACACCCCAACAGTCGAACTCATTGCACGGCTTACCTCTTCATGTGCGGGGTTATCCCGTACACATCCTCAAGTAATGCCCCTTTAGAGATTCAAAATCATAGTCCAGTCTAACTCGCAATAGAGTCTCATAGTTTTAAAAATTAAAGTTAATTATTAGGAGAAGAGGTAACTCACACTTATAACTTAACATCGTGTAAAATATAATGGTCCAATAAATATGAAAAAATTGTAACAGTTAATACAATTAAGTCATAGATTATATAGATGCAAATGAAGGGGAAAATTAAAGTAGTATTTTTCCATGGATCATGACTAGGTAGTAGGTACGGTGTTGTTCTGTATATACTAATTGTCATCATTAAGTATATATAGCTGTAACTCCATAATCTAAATACCGGATTTAGTTAAGGACATTGCACAGAGAATATTTAGTTAAAAAAAAACTTGAGTTGTCATCCTTATTATGATAATGGGACAGGTGAGCATTATATATGCATGTATCCATTGTCAACTATGAACCAACAACTTAAGAAAAAGGATCAAGAAAAATGACTAATTACCGCAATCTTGGCCAACTTATCAACAACAGAATTAAACTCTGGCGGATCATGGGTAATAATTGTCACATATTAAAAAGTATAAAGTGTGACATTTTAATTAATCATCAATTACCATTCCACCTTATAATTTATGGTAATTTACAATTATGTGAATAACTTAAAAGGCAAGGAACCATATTGCAGGGAGTGCCTACAAGGCCACAAGTACCATTCTCATAATCTTCGGATCGCAGCCCTTTTGAAATAATGATTTTAATACTTGTACGTTCTGTATATAAATATAGTTCAGTTGGACCGTACGTTTATAATTTTTGTCATGCAAATTAAAGTATATATATTAAATATACACGGAATAATAATACTCATACATTAATTATACAATTTCGTAAAAAAAAATGAGAATTGGTCGAAGTTGTCTGTACTGAGTAATTTTATTTTATTTATTTTTTTTTTTTGTCATGAGGAAAAGTTAAAATTAGTGGCAAGAAATTCCCCTACTTAAATGCATTTTTAGCCAGGTGGGCCCAGGGATCGACAGATTAAACCATAATTATCATTATAATTAATTAACGTAAGAAGACTGGAAAACCAATTATATTGTAAAAACTGCGTACGAGGCAAAAAAACAACAGCCGTTAAAAAAAAAAAAAAAAAAAAAAAAAGAAACAAAGAAAAGTATATCATAGATTTCTTGATCAGTTACTTTTGACCACATATTAGAAATAGTCATATTCATGTCGAGTAAATTTCACTCAAATTTGAGAATTCGTGAGTGAAGTTACTGAAGTCGGATCAAGATGAAAATATAATACTTATAATGAATAATGTACTATTAATTAGCAATAAAGTATTTGATGCTCATAAAGAAAAGTATAATACTTTTGAGAAAAAAAATAAAATATTTGCATTTTAATTTAGAAGTATTACGGAGTAATTTTTTCTCAAAATTATTATATTTTCCTTTATAAACAACAAACAATTTTATTCCTGATTAGTATTACATTTTTTAGTATAAATATTACATTTTTATATTGACCTGACTAGTACGTTTCACGGACAAGCTAAGGATCCATGAGATGATTTTACATAAGTTTTTGCCTATTATTATTATTATTATTATTATTATTATTATTATTATTATTATTATTATATACACACACACACTTTTTAATTGTTTTATCTAAAAAATAATAAGATTATTAAATAATTAATAAAGTACATGTATGGTAGATAAGTAATTCTGAAGCAAAGATAAACAAACATTTACGGCAATTAATAAGTAAAAAGAGGGTGGTTTCATGCTTCAATTAATAAATAGATATAATAAAGTAAAAAGGGGAATACTAAATATACAAAAATTAAAATTAGCACTATTAAATCCAATATTGTACCTCACCTGCCACTCATTTCATATGTGATTATATTCATAAATATTGGTAATAAGAAGACAAAATAAATAAATAACATTAAATAATATATATATATATATATATATATATATATATATATATATATATATATATATATATATATATATATATATATATATATATAAGTGGTCCACGTTTATAACCTTTTAATACCTTTTTAAAAATTTGATTATGATATATACGAGATTTGAAGCATACTAAAGTATTATGCATTTCATTTCAGCTGATAATAAATCGTAAATTTATTATTTTAAATTATATTATTATACATTTGATCTTCAACAATAATCTTTAATCAATTAATAACTAAAGTAATAATTCTTCTTCTCTTCTCTCAAATACTGTCTACTGAACCAGTTAAAATGTACTGTGTGGATAATAAATTATTAATTTTAAATATTAGTGGAAAAAGCAAATGGATGGGTATCGATCGAGATCCTATCCAATAATGTCCTACATCTTTATTCTAGATTTATCCATAAAAGTCCCATATATAAATAAAGAGAGGAAGAGATGGATAGAGAAATAAATTAGAACTAAGGAATAAATAAATAAATAAATAAATAAATAAAAGGAAATAATAAGTGGTATGGCATATATATATGGCCACAAATTAAATCAGCTGAAAGTAAACTAGTAGTGTGAAGTGTGCATGATAGAAACCTGTATGGTGCATGTCGCTCCTCACTCCCCTCCCCACTTGACATGCAATGAAGCCACTAGTGTCCCTACCCAACACACCCCCCCTCCCCCCCACCCCCCCCCCCCCACCACGTTCAGATATATCTTTGTATATATATGTTGTGTGCCTGAAAGCGAAAGCTATCCAAACCCACAATATTTTTATTATTTATTATGATGCGTCCTTTTCCAAAAAACCATAATTTTATTAATTACATTTTGATAAAAATAGGAATCATGAATTTTTTTTCTATAAATTCAGGTCCATTCAATTTATAAGTGACAAGCCTTTAATTTGCTAGTCAGATTAATATTTATGTTAAAGTCAGACGCTTATCACTGCATTAAAACTATAACGAGTAGTGAATGTGTAACTTTATTTCAGTATACTTGTGTACAGTAACAACCAGTGTTACGTTTTGAACTGTATGATGTTGGGTAGAGATTTGAACTTGACCCTTCATGTTTCTGTCGGGATCGAATAGGTGATGGAAAAGGCAAGAGTTTGCTTGAAAGGCAAATTAAAGGAATCTTGGTGGATTGCCTCACTAGCTAGCTTGCATCTCTTCTTTCTTTTCATTGAATTTGTGAAATTAAAATTAATACTACTATATATACTATACTGTTGCATCTATACAAGTACTTTTCTTTAAGCTTAAGAAGACATTGAGTGAGGGAGGTGGAGCATGCCTTTAACGTGCATTCCCCTTGCTTTCATGGCTGTTTTTGTTCGTGACTTTCGCTGGCAATTTTCTTATCATCTTTTTTTATTATATTTAATTTTTTTGAATGCTTATTATATTTAAATTATAAAACTTTAATTTTTTATTTTTATATTAATAAAATAAACCATGAAACCGACTTCGAACGCTACCCCATCACCAACCTGCAGCTTCCTTCACTCCTTTTATTTGTTAAAAAGATCATTTTACTTTTACTTTTCTCCTCAATTTTCCCATTTCTCTTCACTTACAAACACTCTCAATTTTTGTTCCCCTACACTACCATGACTAGCTTTCCACTACTAGCAATCATTTCCACGTTAACCCGTGATCGATCGATAAAATTAAGGCGTATTTTCTGTATCCATAAAGTGACTAGAAACATGATTTTAAACCGAAAGAACCTAAGTTTCTGATTCCTTTAATCTTTTGTTACGAAATTCATGAACTTTTGGCTGTATTGGACTGTTTAATGACCATGTTAAGATATTCTTTTGCTTAGTTTAGATCTTAGATAGTATTAAATTTTCGTATTTTGCCCAAATTCATGATATGTGACACGAAAGTAATACAATAATTTGTACTTATTGTTATTTTTATCGAAATACTAGGATAGCTCTGATATCATTGTAATAGTTTTTGTAAACAGTATGCTTGGTTTTTAGGAGATCAAAGTAGCAAGCTAAGAGATAATACAATGGATTTCTAAAAGTTTCAAGGGGCGAGAGGAAGTTGAAAAGGTTGAGATTCAAGTTGCTTGAAATGCTGGTCTACATATGTGTAGCCTAAGTGTAACTAAAGAAAGTGACGAATATTTAGTTAAAGACACCTTTTTTTTTTAATATTACAAAAATAATTTTATTTATTTTGGCCAGTTGAGCAAATTGGTGGCTACAGACTGATTCTCATTCATCAAAGGTGTTAAAACTATTCACAAGCTTAGGCTTCTCCTTTTGACCCCAAACATTTTCCTACCATTCATAATATATATATATATATATATATATATATATATATATATATATATATATATTACACACAACACTTATCATCTGTACTACCCCACCTATCTCTCTCTCTCCTCTTCTAATTTCTCTCTATCACTCTCCTTTCTTCTTCACTTTCCCACTTCACTTGTTCATAAGCAAGGATAGGTAGCTAATGGCAACTATGGAGTTCTCTCAAGAAATTTCTTATGTTCATCACTCTCCAACTTATAGCACTGAGGAAGATGAGGACATGGCGGCCAACTGTCTGATTCTTCTGGCGCAAGGTGGGTGTCGCGTGAAGCAAGTGGCGGCGGCGGCAGGGAAAATCAGCAGCCGGAAGTTCTCTGAAATGGCCACCGGCGGCGGCAAGGCCGCCGCAGGGTTATACGTGTACGAGTGCAAGACTTGTAACCGGAGTTTCCCGTCGTTTCAAGCTCTCGGCGGCCACCGCGCGAGCCACAAGAAGCCTAAGCTTATGGATCATCACGAGCACCACCATCAAGACCATTACGATCAACAAAGCCCCCCGCCGCCGCAGCCGCAGCCGCCGCTCTCAGCCGCACACGGCGGTTCTAGCAAGCTGGCCAAGATTCACGAGTGCTCGATTTGCCGTGCGGAGTTCTCTTCCGGGCAAGCCTTGGGCGGCCACATGCGGAGGCACAGGCCGGCGGCGCCTATCAACACAGCCGCCGCCGCAAAAGGCGGCTCCGTGAGTAGTAGCAACGACGAGGAGGCGACGGAGTCATCGGACGGCGTCGGAGGTAATCCCAGAGCTGCCGTTTTCTCCCTTGATCTTAACTTACCGGCCCCACAAGAAGAAGAAGAAGGTGGCCATGGCAACAAGTTTGAATTCTCAGCCAAGCAACAGCAAAGTCTTGTCTTCTCCGTCCCAGCTTTGGTGGACTGTCATTACTAAACAACGTTCAGTTCGTTGAAGATCATCAACAAATACAAATTAATAATATGAATATTGTATTATGATTTGTTATACAAATTAAACAGTAATTTTTAGATTTATTTTTATTTTTATTTTTATTATCATCCATCCCGTCAATATATATTGTTGCTGTTCATCATGTATTTTATTAATATTGGGAATCATTAATTGTTAATATTCTTTGGAGTTGATATGATCTATCTGTACGTATATATTTTTCCAATGTTGATCATCTACTTTTTTGTAAGAGTAGTTCTATACACTTTGAGTAAGTGGTTAGTGTTCATGGTTGCCTTTCATTCACGAAAAGGAAGTGATGGGGCATCTTTTCTTTCTTTTTTAATTAATTAATTTCTTTTTTTTTTTTCTTTAAAAAAAATTTGTTTTTTGTTCTTTCTTGAGTGGGAGAGCGATGTGTAACACATTGACACTCCAAACAAAGAAAGGGCTGTGTGTGTGGACTATACATGTTTGGGGTGGGATCGAACATTTCCCGTGTGTGAGAGTTTGCTCTAAATTTTAGACCGCACCATTTTGGATTCTGAGCAAATCTTAATTGTAGGAAACACTTTTAAGCTCGTATTATACTCAAACTAATTTTAGTTCGCACAGGGTTGGTCTAATTAAGGGACAAAGTCTCCGTTTACACCGGATTGGTCTAATTAAGGGACAAAGTTCGCACCGGGCTGATCTAATTAAGAGATCGGACAAAGTGCTGGCTAAATTGATTTTTTCATATAAGATGAGTTTGAACTCATGACCTCTCTTAAGGAAAAAGAGTGTACGACTGTTCACGCCAACCAAGATGGTTTGGGCATATATTATTAAAAGTGAAAAGAAGTAGCTAGCTAAGCTAGCTAGCACCACAACTTAACCGAAAGGTTGAGGATTAGGTTCATGAGATGAGATGACACTTCGGTTTCTTGAGGATTCCAACAAAACATAAAAGAAAGAGAAACTGATCCCTCACTATCTGTTCCATTAAATGACAAAGAATAAATGGATAGCAAACATGAGCTGGTAACTGCCAAACCCATGCGTATCCATCTGTTTCTTTTTTTTTTTTTTCTTTTTTTTTCTTCCATAATAATAATAATAATAATAATAATAATAGTAATAATAATAATAATAATAATAATAATATTATTATTATTATTATTATTATTATAAAAAAAATGGCTACACTTTTTAAACAAAAGTGTAACATATTCTTATGTATTTATTTATGTTTTTGCTATCATAGTGAAAAGTCTACTTATATGTTCATTTTTGTAGTAGTGCTTCTCTTTCCGTCACTCATTTCATTAGCTTATAACCTACTAATTATAACTAACCTTCTCTATTGCTTTCTTATCTGTTTCACTCTTGTTGCATATTTTTGGTAATTAGGGTGTGATTGTATGTATTAAAATGCTCTAGCTAGGTATAAGTTATGCCTCGTCATTATAGATAGCAAATGGACGGTTTTTGGAAAGATAATAAATATCGGTAGAGAAAAATCGGGAAGATTTTAGCATGCTCAAATTAATGTGTGCTTTCGTTATCCCATGGTATTGAATACATATGTTAAATGGATGTTCAAATTTGAGATCTCATATATTTCAATGAAACTAATAAAATCTTTCTACTTAAATTATGGGTTATTGGTGAATGGAAATATTACTTGAATCGTATAATTTATTATTGATTGACATGCTTTCAACTCGTTTTTAATTATCTACTTTAAAAGTCAATTAAAACTAAATCCTCTAAAAGGTGTAGAATTTAGATGATTTAAAAGGTACGAACCTAAATGGTTGATTTGTGGCTTGCTTAATGTTCATGATGCGAGGTAGCAGTGTAGGAGTTCGAATAGGTCCAAATATGATAGAAGGTCGATCTAAATTGGATTTCTTGTGCACACATGAAGATTAAGATCTGACTGGTGGGTTGATTGTGCGACTGACAATTTATTTCAATTACTTTAGGAGCAAGGTCCTGTGGGCTTAGAATTAGTCTGACAAAGTTGGGATAACCACCTAAGTTTTTTTAAAAAAAATAGAATACAATATCTTGGTATACTAATCCTATAAGTTGAGTAGATTTTTTTTTTTTTTTTTTTTAACACATAAAAAGGAGGACCACAAAATTACAAATTTGACTCCATCGGGAGTATTCTATTGGTATTCTTAATTTGATGAGCCGGTAAACTATGGACAACCTATGTTAGTTTACCTTTTTATAGTCCTTTGTTGGTTTGGATCAAAGACGAGATTTATTTAATACACACACTCAAATAGTGATTGTAATTCTCTCTTTACAAAAAAAAAAAAAAAAAAAACTTTTATGAAAATGTGATGGTTCACTAGACTTGGTCACTTGTAACTCTCAACCCACCCATCACACACCTAATTGCTTAACTCTCTCGTACTGTTCAAGTTTCTTAACTAACTAACTAAGTATTCTTTCTGATCTATATGTATACCAGAACTATGTATGTATATATTATATTATGGCCTGCAAGTCTGCAATCACACGTCACTGCAAGCAGTTGAGTGTGATCACCTCCAAAGTTCCACAATATCTAACTATAGCTACCTTTAATTTAATTCAATAATTCAATATATATAATTCAATTAATTAAATCTTGATTGCGTGACCCAAATGAAATCCTTGTTTAGGATACCTTACACTTTGCTTTTAGTACACAATCACAAATACTGAACACTAACATTAACTAGTGCCTAATCTCATCTCATCTAATTAACCAAATCTTCATCCTACTAGCTTAGCTTTGTGCTTGTATGTGCTTGTCTTGTCACGCTTGCTTGCTTGTCTAATGCATCAATTCATACACAAATTTGAGGTGCCACTTGATTATATTGATGCAACTATAACTTCTAGCCTAACATCTTTTCCCTCTATCTCTTTCTATTATATCTTATTTCACATAAGGAGCAAGAGTATGTCTATATATACAAAGTTAATTATGAGTGTTTCATAAACTTAACTGTTAAATGAGTTGATAAATGTAAAAGATGGAAATGGAATATATCTTTATATATATAAAGATCGCATTAGGTGTGAATGTGCGAAATCTATCTAAAAGTACACTATGCAAAATTACAGAGTGCACTAGTTTATTGATGAGTTGCACATACTTTTACCTGTCATAGGGTGCACCAATTCTTGAGTGCACTTTTACATATCATCATATCTATTTTATAATTTTGCGTGGTGCATGCTCACAGTTTGCATCTGGAGCGCGTTTTTATTTGATCTAGTTCCTTCTTCCAGAGCACATTGTTGTTTCTTACAGTGTACATTGTTGTGCCTTCAACATTTAAGATCGTAGGTGTTATATATATATATATATATATATATATATATATATATATATATATATATATATATATATATATATAAAAGAACATTTGATCTTTAATGAATCACTAATTACTAACTTTAGTTGAATATTGTGATCTTTTATGATTTGTGTTGAAGATCATGTGTTAAATTTAGTCTTTTCAATAGTTGTTGCATATTTGTGTGCTTTACAGTGCACATTTTGCCTTCCTGTGCACATTGTTATGCCTTTCAGAGCACATTGTTGTGCCTTCCAGTGCACGTTGTTGTGGATCGCATGTGGTGAACTTTTTTAAAAAAATGAGTTGATGAATGGTTGATATTACATCCTATTTCTCACATGCGGCTTCTTTCTCACTTGAACCCTTCCACACACACACACACACACACACACACACACACACACACACACACACACACACACACATATATATATAGATAGGAAAAAGTTTAAATGCGGCGATGTCCTTAGGTGTGGCAGAATTTCAGAATACACTAACAGTGTTAACAACATGCACCAACATTGTGAGGAAAACACACCACAATAAAATGCAAAAAAAAAAAGCACCAAAAAATACACAACAGACCTAAAAAAATACACCATATAACTCACCACACCCCAATGGTGTATTTCCGAACACTGTATGGTGTTTTTACTCACACCTAATGGTGTGTTTTTGTGGTGCATTTTCTAACGTTGATGGTGTATATTTGTTGAACTATTGGTGACGCTGCACCACCGCACCTAAGGACATCGTCGCACTTGAAACTTACTCTCTCTCTCTCTCTCTGTATATATATATATATATATATATATATATATAATGATGTGATATATGTCAATTTACATGCACGATTTGTTAATCATTTTATAAAAGGTTGCTTGTAAGGGGTTGGCCCAATTGATTAACATTAACGCATAACCTTTACCGTAATTAGAAATTTTATTTTTCATTAATTATTTGGAGCAATTTATGTACGAATTGTTTAATTTTACTATGTGTATGAATCATTGATTATTTTTAAAAGAGTAAATATCACTTTTGGTCCCTTGACTATTATAACTGAAGCACTTTTAATCCTTAACTATTGCTTTTGTTAAATTAGGTATATGACTTTGTAACTAGTATCACTTTTGATCCCTCGATCCAATTTTTCGACCATATATTATTACCGGAGTTCCAACCAGAAAATATTGTGTTTGTAATTATAAGGGTATTTTTATTCTTTCAAATTTATTTCATTTTCCTTTTTTATTTTTTTCTTCTTCCCCTTTCTTCCTCAGCTCTCTCGTTCTTCCTGGTGTTTGTAATTGCTGGAGCAGTCTTGCTGTAATTAATGCATAAATTTGTTGTAATTAGATATATTCATCTTTTGTTAATTAGATACCTATACATATATTGTAATGTGTTTTGGTTGAGGTGATTATTGGTAAGCAAAACATGTGGGCACGTTGGAGGGGCATAGAAGAATAGATAAGAGTTGGGGGATTCATTGAGATTTGCACATGTAGTGGGGGACTACCTTGTCATTTTATTAACATAATGTTCTCTCTTGATAGCTAGCTTATTCATTTCTATCCAAATATGAGGAGGACAACAGTCTTGGAATTATGAAAAAAGGGAAATTATATTAGAGATACACTCACTCAAAATACTGATTATTATTATTATTATTATTATTATTATTATTATTATTATTATTATTATTATTATTATTATTATTATTATTATTAATAGTAGTAATAATAATAATAATAATAATATTATTATTATTATTAATATTAATAATAATAATAATAATAATAATAATAATATTATTATTATTATTATTATTATTATATAATA